TGTGTGTGTGTGTGAGTGTGTGTGTGTCGTGACGAAATGAAATCAGGCACCCGTTATTAGTATCATTTGCTTTGCTTTTCTTTGGAAAAATTACTCTTCTATCTTAAATAAAAGTCGAGATATTTGCGAGTAAAGGAGGTGGGGGTTACTGATGTCAGAGGTAAAGATAACGAGAAAAAGGCCAACGGAGGTTAGTGGCTTCCAAAGCATAAGTGCACTTTGAAACTGCGAATTTACATCTGTGTGTGTGTTGGGGGGGGGGGCTGTTTGTGTTTGTGAGTCTGTGTTTGTTCGTGTGTGTTTATTTGGTAGAGTGTGGATCTAGGGGGTAAATTTCAAAAACTGTAAAACGAGGTTTGTCTACGTTTATAATTTGCCGATATCACTAAAACGACGAGTTTTCAACTAGCGCCTTGCCCCAGTAATAAGCTATGAAAGCCAAACCTTGCCAACTACCAAAAATATCATGCAGAAAGTAAGGACGATATAAAGATCAATGTTTTGTATAAGAATACAAAATGAAACACAAAAGTGCGATCTAAAACTGGAGTGGCACATAGCTCCAAATTTATGCTCTAACAAACATAGAAATGGGCTGCTCACATCGATGGAATAACTAGTTACAGATTGACGAAAGGTTTCACTGAATGGAGACCAAGAACAAGAAAAACATGAAGAAAAACACCAAGAAAAAAGGTGGCAAGATGGTGTAAGAGGGCGGAAAAGAACGACCTGGGTACTATGACGTTTACGAGTAAATCTAGAGTGATAATTGCCCCAACTGGAAATGGTTACAGCAACTGGTTATAAGTTGATTGTTCCGATCATGTTAGTCCTCCAGTTCTCAGCCCTTTCGAGTCACGAGGTGGGCACCCTCTTTCTCGCTGCCTGGTGAAGTCGTCCTTACAGTAGCACTGAAAGTTCCGAAAGTTTGCACGACCGTCTCATGCTATGGTGGTGTCATAGTTGGTCATGGTATTAGTACCCAAACTACTGGGCCCAGACGAGTAGGTAGATATATATATATATGAAACGGGAAACAATAATACAACATAAACAAATAAATAAATAAACAGATAGATTGACAGATTAAAGACATTTC